AGACCTAAATCACATAAAACAAGAGCAGAAGAAAGAGTGGGAGTACGGGAGTGAAAACACCTTAAGAAAGTCATATTACAAACATTCATCCATAAAATTTATTAAAAATTAACTTTAATCTAAAACTATGCGGGAAATTGCATTACTCTTTTAAATATATATTGATTATAAGATCATAAAATTGTAATTATGGATTATAAATATCATTTTAGTTGGATTTGTATTGTTATGTATGAATCAATACATCTATATTACTTATAAATATCAGCATTTATGAAAAATTTTTAATTTTTTATTTTATCTCTAATTATTATAATAAAGTCAATTATACCCACCTATATAATTATCTAATTTTTTTCTACACCTAGTTGACTTTTAATTTATTTTAGACTATTTAATATGAATTTCTAAATTCTTTTGAACTCATTTATTAGTAGTATAGTTACATACAATTATATATATTATATATCAAGAAGTAAAGTCTTATATATATATTAAATTATTATACACATATAGTTAGGTTAAATCATACGGTCAAGTATATGTTATATTTTATTTTTTGGTATGCAATAATATAATAATATTTTAAGGGATTTAATCAATCTATTTAACAAAATAAAAGTTAATAATTCTATAATATGATCAGATGTGTAAATGCCTAAATATGTTAGAGAGATACCTAAAAAAATTGACATATTAGGTACTGAAAAACTTATACAATAAATTAATAATTAAATTTAACAATAATTAAATATTAATGAATTATTTGACACCTAATTTATTATTTAATTTAATTATACATATAATTCTCATATTTTATAAAAATAATATTATTTAATTATACATATAAAATCGTGCATTGCTAGTTTTAAATAAACTTTTAAATATCAATGAATTCTATAATATAAAACAGGACATACTTCAATAAGTCAATTCGAGGGTTTCAAATAAACTCATCTAACGGCTACCAAAATCTCTTAAAACTATTCAAATTACATCGTGCCTTCAGGCACAAACTTTCCTAAATTGGCGCCAATTGAAAAACGTTTGTGTTTCTATGTTTTCTATATTACCTAACATCGCGACATTCTTGGAATGTGGATCAATATTGTGGAAAGTTTCTCCACAAAACGAGCCTGAGTTACAGGTATTTACTCCCTCCTCAGTGACTACTGGAATGTTAAGATTAGGGTTTTGTATTTTGGGCGTAATTTCATATACCAATAAGATGATTGATTGGAGAGGACTTGTGTTGTCATTAGCTTTGTTGGAATCGTGGATATTAGGTGTTTATTTAATTGACTGTGTGAAAGGACGTGGAATTGTGTTGTTTCATGTTTGGGGGAAAGTATACTATCCTTGATAAATGGTGATACGGAGTTTTAAATTGAATGAAAAAATGAATGAAATAGGCACTTTTTCTATTAAACGAGCAAATTATTTTGCCAACTACTAGAGAATAAGGTTAGATCGGTCGGAGGCACTTCGATACTTAAGTCCGTAATTACTCTAACAGTAAATAAACAATGTGTACCTTTGATTCAACCATTGCATCGTAATTATAATGCCGGATGGCACCTTTCTACTAGGGTTTATATTATTTCGCTATGCTATGTGGCGCACCTATATTTAAGACAGATTCTTCNATTTATAATGCCGGATGTCACCTTTCTACTATGGTTTATATTATTTCGCTATGCTATGTGGCGCACCTATATTTAAGACAGATTCTTCTTTATTTGAGCCCTGATTTTCTTTGGCTTACTCTCTCTCAGGGGCGGATCCAAGATTTTATCCTGGGAGGTATAGTATCGTAGTTAGATTTTAATTTTGCTTNAATTATAATGCCGGATGGCACCTTTCTACTAGGGTTTATATTATTTCGCTATGCTATGTGGCGCACCTATATTTAAGACAGATTCTTCTTTATTTGAGCCCTGATTTTCTTTGGCTTACTCTCTCTCAGGGGCGGATCCAAGATTTTATCCTGGGAGGTATAGTATCGTAGTTAGATTTTAATTTTGCTTAAATTGTTACATTTGAGACTAAAACAGTTCACAAAACTATTTTGAACACTTAGGGGTGCAATGTGTTTAAATCAAATAACTGAGGGGTAAGGCAAAATCAAGATTCCAACTTAAATATATAAAATATAATTTTGGTAACTTAAGGCGCCATGTAAAGTGAAAAACAAAATTTTTGGTTGAAGTATAATTTTTCAAATTGAGATGACCAATTTTAGAGGTATAACGTATAATTTTAGAAAGTTGAAAAAGGGCACAAAGGGGGGCGCATAGGCCAAAGCTTGACTCTTATAACTGCTCTCTCCAATTCTTTAGGCTACGTGCTCCCACGATTTTGGCAGCCCTTATCCTAATGTTATACTGATCAAATTTAGAATTTAAATGACATAATAGTTGACTTGAATTTTTTTATTTGATACCATCTTATTTGGGCCCCAATAAAAATTTCAAATAATATATTGTCATATCATTTAACTCTAAATTTAATCTTAAAATTTAGTGAGCATAACATTATTACTTCCTTATTAGTTTGTTGGGACCTTTGATTTCTTGATGTTGCCATGCTGTCATCTTTAGGCAGGTTTTGAAAAACCCCCTAACCGCCACCTTTGCTCGGTCTGGTAGCTCGATTCAGTTAGCTGTTTCGACTTTATAGTCTGAATATTTTGATTGATTGCTCGGTTCTTTTTAGCGAGCATTGAGGTTTTTTTGCTCAGTCCTTAGATTCCTTGCTTCGGTTAACTCATCCTCACTTGAGCTTTTGTCACGTGTCTTTTCCATGTGACTGCATTAACAAACCAATCATGCACAGCTGTTTTACGTCTCTAAAATTGATAATAATTTTTATGATTATTCAGTTTTGAGAAAGGTTTAATATTTCATGGATTTTTTTGAGGAATTTTGATACATTTAGCGTCAAAGTTTCTTGATTTTTACATCCTTCGGTGTATTCAATATTTGTTTAAGTAAGTGGTATTGCATCGCCTAATTGGTGGTTTTAGTAGCTGTTAGTGAATTTTTAATGTGGTGGCGTATTCATTAGTTTTGAGTGACTATAAAAACGGATGGGTTGTACTCGGTAGTAGCCTATAAAATCAATACACGTGTGCTTGCTGCAAAGTGACACATTGCAAGATTAAAGAGGGTTCACAAGCTGACGTGGTAGGATAGTGTCCCCTCATGTAGCAAAGACCGTGGTAAGTGGTTGGTGACCGCGGAAGGTGCCCGGCGCCGCGAAGGAATGAGGCTGACCCTCCTCACTGCAAACGTGACAAACGGATCCTTACCCAAAAAGGGCAAAAGTAAAGACTGAGGACAATCTTGGCCCGATTTGGCTAGTCCGCCTTCCCACCGCGGAAGTAAAGACATATAGCTGGGATCCTATGAATAGCAAAAACTACATTCCTAGCAAATCCTTAAAGGGGTACTCCCTCAGAGAGAACCTAAACCTATTGGATGCCCACACTGGCAAAGTTAATTAAGGGTATACCGTTGCTCAACTCGCCCAAGGGATCGAGAGGAGAGGTTCTTGCCTTTGGATAAGGAAATACGACCTTCTGAAGTAGGACGTCAAATGTTTAGTCTACCCAGATAAGCCTCTAGTATATGGCTCATTGTCCACTGTGTAGGACGTCAAATGTTTAGTCTACCCAGATAAGCCTCTAGTATATGGCTCATTGTCCACTGTATTTGCACTTGATTGGGATTTGGAGGGCTCCCAAGGTAGAAAGAGTTAATGGACATATGAGATGATAAGACATATGAATTGATAACTAAAAGACCGAAATTATATAAGGATCCTTGATTGGACACCTTGGTAGAGGATTTGGGATGGGGGTTCTGAAGGGAAAGAAGACTTCACGGTACCCGGTGCACCGTGAACAAGACCTTCTTGCGGTGACCTAGTTGTTACCCTTTACCTCGAGTGTTCTCCTTTGCCTCGAGGAGTGTACCCCTTCCTCGAAGGTCAAACCCAAGTTGTATTCAAGAAAATGTCGCATTTGTCAAATTAATGCTCGAAACACTTGACACATAATGTGCGATACTTCATACAAATGTGGTTGAGATAGTTACCTATGTAGGCACAACTATTGCGTACGGAGTTGACTCTTGTATAGAGGCAAGGGCGGGAAGCCCGTAGGACAACCTCAGCTGCTCGAGTATTTGTACTATAAATACCTTCAATACTTATCCCTACAGTACACACAACTACCTTGTCTAAGATAGACTATTCGGCTGGTGGGAGAATCTTCATTGACTCCACCTATCCAAGAAACTTTTGCAGAAAAATTAGTCCCAACAATTTATAGGCAGCTCGAGTCTTTTCATCCCATTCATTTTATCCCACTCATCCCTTTGAGAACATTAACAACCTATTTAACTTCTCACCTACGTACTCCCAAGTTGTTTCTACTCAACTCAACAATGCTTTATCCTTATTTTTCAAAGATGATATGTCCAATTGCAAAGCAATCCCCATCAATATGGTTTTCCTATTTGCAGTTCCTAAAGGTTCTACAAGACCCTGAAAATTTAAAAGAATATCTTCAGAGGCACCTAATTATATTTTTACAGACTTGGAGAAGTTTTTCTCCCCATTATTTTTTTCTTAGAATTTTTATTTATGTGATTACCAATCACAGTCTACCACATGAACCATGTAACCATCCCTCCACCCCAATTATTAAGTATCACTCATTTAATTGTTCTAAAGAATATCACCCTATAATTTACTATGATTTTTATTCAATATCCCAAGTAATTAGATAGCAAATGTAGAAGAATTCAAGAGGGTTGCAAATTCCGTTCGTCGCATGGTTGTGCCTGTAGTATGTAATTAGTTATGCTTGTGTATTTGAAAGATATAGGATGAGAGGAAGATGGGATATAATACCGGTATCAAGTGTTAGTTTTACATTTTTATTAGTAGCCCAGGACTAATGCTAAATAATTTACAAGAAATAATGAAGAATTCCACTAGGTTTCCTCACCTTGTTTTTGAATACTCATTAGGCCTTTTGTCAACCAAATAGCTGTTTCTCTTGATGAAACGGCTTCTTCCCCAAATGGTCTTAGTACACCTGCAAGTTCCTCTAGCCTTTCTCGTCTAAGTAGTTGTGCACAAAGTTCAAGTAGTGACTCCAGAGCTTCTGATCTTTGTTGTCCCAGGGTATCCCATGCAATTCTATTATTGCTTCCATGTGGCACAGCTAGTGGACTCGTTGTAGAAGTGTCACTAGATGTTTGATTAAATTCCAGAGATTCTCCTTTTCCTGTAAGCTTGGAGGGGTGAAGATCATCTGCTTTTGCTCCTAATTCATATCCACAAGAAAGTGTCACTGTACTTTTCGTGTTTCCAGTGGAAGCAATATCTGGATTTGAATTAGGGATCCCTCTTGGGTGTGGAGAGAACAAGGGTACTGATTCATAATCATTTTTTATTTCTTTCTTAGCTTCCAGTGCCCGTCCATCTTCAAAAAGCCTGTTACTGTACATGGGAGATGCATTTTGCATTGCCACCCCCTTCCGATTCTCCTGATCGGAATTCTCAGCTACTGTGTCAGTATTATTAAAAACTTGCGCATGCTGGTAATGTTCAGGAGTGAGCTCTTTTTCATGTTCTATATCTTCTTCGTGATAAGTCAGCGAACTCCCCAAGGACGTTCCTGATTTAGCTTCTAATGACCCTTCATCTTCAAAAAGCCTGTTGCTATACATGGCAGATGCATTTTGTGCTGCCATTCTTTTGTGATTTTCCGGATAGGATCTCTCAGTTACAGTTTCAGTATTGTTAGCAACTTGCGCTTGCTGGTGATGCTTGTGAGTACTGAGCTCTTTATATCCTGTATCTTCTTCGTAATCAGTCAATGAACTGCCCAAGGAATTTGCTAAGTTAGGGCTTTGATTTTTCTCTATGCAGTTGGTGTTAACCCTTAGACATTCATCAGTCTTAGAGACTTGCTTGACACAGGTGGTAGGATCTACCATTTTAGTTTCAACGAGAACTTGTTGGAAATCAGAGGGAGTAAGCAAATCAGTTTTGGTCAGATTTCCTTTTGGTATATCAGGAAAACTATCAGACTCCTTTGGCAGTCTTCGCTTTCCACATTTGATGTCTTTACCCACTCTAGCCTTGTCAGACTGCCGAGTTTTTGTTGATTTAGATCTTGAGTAGTTTTTAGGATTTAGTGGTAGGAAGATGGGGGATAAGTTGTGGCATTGAACGAGGTATGGTTGTAAATGGGGATGCCTCAACAGTTCTGCAGCCTAAAGTGTCATACATTTAGGCATTAGATTATGTAATTGATTACCAAAATGTTGAGAGAGAGGTTTGAACTTTAGGACTTACCGTTGACCTGTGTTCTGGGTTTTTCCTTATCATGCTTTTGATCAGCCTTTTCCTGTAGTGTGGAAATCCACCAATCTAAATAATTATACTTCTTGATGCCATAAACGCATGGATTTTACTGACATAAATTCTTCAATGCAAAGTAGGAGGTCATTAAGACTTCAATTACTTACAATGTGGAAGAATATACCGTTGGGAGTGGAGAAATGGAGGACCGGTTTATCTTGTTTATGAGTCCAGCCATATCCTGAATGGTCAAGAGTTTAAGCATACCAGTGCCATTGAGTTTAAATGCATGACAATTTTATAGCTCAGGGTCTCAACGAAAACATTGGGTAAAGATAGATCTAGCTTGTGTTTAAACTTACAGGAGCTCTGAATGCAGGTTGATGGGCAGCTATTTCAAACATACAGCAGCCTGCGAGAGTAGCAAAATGTCATCGTTGGGAAGTCTACATTAAGGACAAATGCTACTGGGGTTATCTACCTAGGGACCATATATCAGATTTGTAGCCATAGGGTATATCTGCTAGGAGCTCCGGACACATGTAGATTGGAGTGCCCACAACCTGAGTGAAGTTCAATGAGCACCATTAATAGCTTTATATGAACTGCCAATTCATTTAAAAACATTACCAGCCTGAAAAATACCCTAATTGTTGATAATTTCACACTTACAGTGCCTGCAATAAGATGCCCTGCAATTAAGTGTGGACTTCTTTAATTTCGTGCAACAAAGAATCAGAGGACATAACTCTGATTCATGCAATGATGAATCAGCAGATATTACTCTGATTCAATGTGCCAGACTACTAAGAACTCATCTTTAAATAGATGTTCAATGGTAGTAACTCAACATGACTTGATTGAGTAATACCGAGGTGCAATTTATGTTTGTACGAAATGCATCTTTTCTCTATTCAACCGTTTTTTTCTCTCTGATTAGGTAGGGCCGTGGGGCATTAGAAAAAGGTCTATGACTACTCGGGCCAGCTAAATGAATATACGACAGATATTGTAGATGCCTACGGACAAGGNGGGAAGCCCGTAGGACAACCTCAGCTGCTCGAGTATTTGTACTATAAATACCTTCAATACTTATCCCTACAGTACACACAACTACCTTGTCTAAGATAGACTATTCGGCTGGTGGGAGAATCTTCATTGACTCCACCTATCCAAGAAACTTTTGCAGAAAAATTAGTCCCAACAATTTATAGGCAGCTCGAGTCTTTTCATCCCATTCATTTTATCCCACTCATCCCTTTGAGAACATTAACAACCTATTTAACTTCTCACCTACGTACTCCCAAGTTGTTTCTACTCAACTCAACAATGCTTTATCCTTATTTTTCAAAGATGATATGTCCAATTGCAAAGCAAACCCNTTCAAGAGTGCAGTTGTGAAAGTCGTAAAAGCTTTGGGTTTTTTTTTGGGTGGGGGGAGCTCTTTGGGCGGTCAACCCGCTTCTGTCCCCAGATCCATTGTTGCTTATGATGTGGTTCATTTCAAACTGTTTGCAAAACATGTGGCTCCAAACCTGTCTGTGTGCTATTGGCTAGAGTCAGATGCCTGTGAAAAACAATTTCATGGTCTCTGTGTAGTGTTCATATGCCTCTTTCTGTGATCACTGTGAGAGGTAGGAGTTGTTGGGATGGGACTGTGGTGCTCTGGTTTTATTTTAATTATGTATGATCCTAAGCTCTGGTTTTATTTTAATTATGTATGATCCTAATGTTGTTTTGATGTATTTTTATGCAAGTGTTTGTTCTATGATTATTTCCTGTTTTCCTATAATATGACATGTATCATTNGAGAAGCCCGTAGGACAACCTCAGCTGCTCGAGTATTTGTACTATAAATACCTTCAATACTTATCCCTACAGTATAGACAACTACCTTGTCTAAGATAGACTATTCGGCTGGTGGGAGAATCTTCATTGACTCCACCTATCCAAGAAACTTTTGCCGAAAAATTAGTCCCAACAATTTATAGGCTGCTCGAGTCTTTTCATCCCATTCATTTTATCCCACTCATCCCTTTGAGAACATTAACAACCTATTTAACTTCTCACCTACGTACTCCCAAGTTGTTTCTACTCAACTCAACAATGCTTTATCCTTATTTTTCAAAGATGATATGTCCAATTGCAAAGCAAACCCCATCAATATGGTTTTCCTATTTGCAGTTCCTAAAGGTTCTACAAGACCCTGAAAATTTAAAAGAATATCTTCAGAGGCACCTAATTATATTTTTACAGACTTGGAGAAGTTTTTCTCCCCATTATTTTTTTCTTAGAATTTTTATTTATGTGATTACCAATCACAGTCTACCACATGAACCATGTAACCATCCCTCCACCCCAATTATTAAGTATCACTCATTTAATTGTTCTAAAGAATATCACCCTATAATTTACTATGATTTTTATTCAATATCCCAAGTAATTAGATAGCAAATGTAGAAGAATTCAAGAGGGTTGCAAATTCCGTTCGTCGCATGGTTGTGCCTGTAGTATGTAATTAGTTATGCTTGTGTATTTGAAAGATATAGGATGAGAGGAAGATGGGATATAATACCGGTATCAAGTGTTAGTTTTACATTTTTATTAGTAGCCCAGGACTAATGCTAAATAATTTACAAGAAATAATGAAGAATTCCACTAGGTTTCCTCACCTTGTTTTTGAATACTCATTAGGCCTTTTGTCAACCAAATAGCTGTTTCTCTTGATGAAACGGCTTCTTCCCCAAATGGTCTTAGTACACCTGCAAGTTCCTCTAGCCTTTCTCGTCTAAGTAGTTGTGCACAAAGTTCAAGTAGTGACTCCAGAGCTTCTGATCTTTGTTGTCCCAGGGTATCCCATGCAATTCTATTATTGCTTCCATGCGGCACAGCTAGTGGACTCGTTGTAGAAGTGTCACTAGATGTTTGATTAAATTCCAGAGATTCTCCTTTTCCTGTAAGCTTGGAGGGGTGAAGATCATCTGCTTTTGCTCCTAATTCATATCCACAAGAAAGTGTCACTGTACTTTTCGTGTTTCCAGTGGAAGCAATATCTGGATTTGAATTAGGGATCCCTCTTGGGTGTGGAGAGAACAAGGGTACTGATTCATAATCATTTTTTATTTCTTTCTTAGCTTCCAGTGCCCGTCCATCTTCAAAAAGCCTGTTACTGTACATGGGAGATGCATTTTGCATTGCCACCCCCTTCCGATTCTCCTGATCGGAATTCTCAGCTACTGTGTCAGTATTATTAAAAACTTGCGCATGCTGGTAATGTTCAGGAGTGAGCTCTTTTTCATGTTCTATATCTTCTTCGTGATAAGTCAGCGAACTCCCCAAGGACGTTCCTGATTTAGCTTCTAATGACCCTTCATCTTCAAAAAGCCTGTTGCTATACATGGCAGATGCATTTTGTGCTGCCATTCTTTTGTGATTTTCCGGATAGGATCTCTCAGTTACAGTTTCAGTATTGTTAGCAACTTGCGCTTGCTGGTGATGCTTGTGAGTACTGAGCTCTTTATATCCTGTATCTTCTTCGTAATCAGTCAATGAACTGCCCAAGGAATTTGCTAAGTTAGGGCTTTGATTTTTCTCTATGCAGTTGGTGTTAACCCTTAGACATTCATCAGTCTTAGAGACTTGCTTGACACAGGTGGTAGGATCTACCATTTTAGTTTCAACGAGAACTTGTTGGAAATCAGAGGGAGTAAGCAAATCAGTTTTGGTCAGATTTCCTTTTGGTATATCAGGAAAACTATCAGACTCCTTTGGCAGTCTTCGCTTTCCACATTTGATGTCTTTACCCACTCTAGCCTTGTCAGACTGCCGAGTTTTTGTTGATTTAGATCTTGAGTAGTTTTTAGGATTTAGTGGTAGGAAGATGGGGGATAAGTTGTGGCATTGAACGAGGTATGGTTGTAAATGGGGATGCCTCAACAGTTCTGCAGCCTAAAGTGTCATACATTTAGGCATTAGATTATGTAATTGATTACCAAAATGTTGAGAGAGAGGTTTGAACTTTAGGACTTACCGTTGACCTGTGTTCTGGGTTTTTCCTTATCATGCTTTTGATCAGCCTTTTCCTGTAGTGTGGAAATCCACCAATCTAAATAATTATACTTCTTGATGCCATAAACGCATGGATTTTACTGACCTAAATTCTTCAATGCAAAGTAGGAGGTCATTAAGACTTCAATTACTTACAATGTGGAAGAATATACCGTTGGGAGTGGAGAAATGGAGGACCGGTTTATCTTGTTTATGAGTCCAGCCATATCCTGAATGGTCAAGAGTTTAAGCATACCAGTGCCATTGAGTTTAAATGCATGACAATTTTATAGCTCAGGGTCTCAACGAAAACATTGGGTAAAGATAGATCTAGCTTGTGTTTAAACTTACAGGAGCTCTGAATGCAGGTTGATGGGCAGCTATTTCAAACATACAGCAGCCTGCGAGAGTAGCAAAATGTCATCGTTGGGAAGTCTACATTAAGGACAAATGCTACTGGGGTTATCTACCTAGGGACCATATATCAGATTTGTAGCCATAGGGTATATCTGCTAGGAGCTCCGGACACATGTAGATTGGAGTGCCCACAACCTGAGTGAAGTTCAATGAGCACCATTAATAGCTTTATATGAACTGCCAATTCATTTAAAAACATTACCAGCCTGAAAAATACCCTAATTGTTGATAATTTCACACTTACAGTGCCTGCAATAAGATGCCCTGCAATTAAGTGTGGACTTCTTTAATTTCGTGCAACAAAGAATCAGAGGACATAACTCTGATTCATGCAATGATGAATCAGCAGATATTACTCTGATTCAATGTGCCAGACTACTAAGAACTCATCTTTAAATAGATGTTCAATGGTAGTAACTCAACATGACTTGATTGAGTAAAACCGAGGTGCAATTTATGTTTGTACGAAATGCATCTTTTCTCTATTCAACCGTTTTTTTCTCTCTGATTAGGTAGGGCTGTGGGGCATTAGAAAAAGGTCTATGACTACTCGGGCCAGCTAAATGAATATACGACAGATATTGTAGATGCCTACGGACAAGGACTACCAGGAATTTGGTCTAGTGGTGGTAAACTCTTTAGACAAGACTTNCTGTGGGGCATTAGAAAAAGGTCTATGACTACTCGGGCCAGCTAAATGAATATACGACAGATATTGTAGATGCCTATGGACAAGGACTACCAGGAATTTGGTCTAGTGGTGGTAAACTCTTTAGACAAGACTTCAAGAGTGCAGTTGTGAATGTCGTAAAAGCTTTGGGTTTTTTTTTGGGTGGGGGGAGCTCTTTGGGCGGTCAACCCGCTTCTGTCCCCAGATCCATTGTTGCTTATGATGTGGTTCATTTCAAACTGTTTGCAAAACATGTGGCTCCAAACCTGTCTGTGTGCTATTGGCTAGAGTCAGATGCCTGTGAAAAACAATTTCATGGTCTCTGTGTAGTGTTCATATGCCTCTTTCTGTGATCACTGTGAGAGGTAGGAGTTGTTGGGATGGGACTGTGGTGCTCTGGTTTTATTTTAATTATGTATGATCCTAATGTTGTTTTGATGTATTTTTAGGCAAGTGTTTGTTCTATGATTATTTCCTGTTTTCCTATAATATGACATGTATCATTTGAGTACATGTTCTACAAACTTGTTAAGTAGGTCTGCTATCTGTGTGCCAATTTTAGGTTGAATTCGGAAGGAACCCTGCAAATAATGAAGTGGGTAAATTTCTAGCACTCTATTCCAGGTTCACATATTGCAGGATTGGAATTGCAATATAGTAGAAGATTACCCCAATGCTCTTGAAAAANGAAAGGAATCCCTGCAAATAATGAAGTGGGTAAATTTCTAGCACTCTATTCCAGGTTCACGTATTGCAGGATTGGAATTGCAATATAGTAGAAGATTACCCCAATGCTCTTGAAAAAGCAGTTTTTATGTTGCTGGTGAACAGAAAAAATTCAATTGTGTGCCCATAAATTAAATTCCAGTAGCTACTCAGACTGACTTGAAATTTGACTAGTAGTAAAAAGAAAAATTAAGAATGCAGCAATGACATATGGAATAATACAATGAGAAAGAGAGGAGAAAGAACCATTACCGAAGAAGCAAGATCATCCTTATTAAGCAGTTTTGCAAGTCCAAAATCACCTATTTATATGGGTTATGAGATACAATCTTCACAGAGGACCGTAGATGCTAAATTATAAGATAGCCTTCTTACCAAGTCGGATGTCATTTTCTTTTGTGAGGAATATGTTTGAGCACTGGAGTCCAGTAATAAGTAAACAGATATTTGTTTAGAATGATAATCTTGATTTACACTGCTTTTCACTTGATAGACCAAGGTGTACATACCTTGAGATCCCTGTGAAGTACACGATTGGAGTGAAGGTAATCCACAGCTAGCAACAGCTGAGTAAGCCATTTGCAGAGTTTCTAGGTGGGAAATGGAAATACAATGGGCATTAGTAACAGTTTAGTGTGTATTATTTTCTTCAAAGGTCTGCGTAGATCATTCATATTCCTTACCTCCTCCTGGAAAAACTTTCCTCTTGCTTTTCTTATAATCTCAGCCCTGAAAGATCAGAATCAAAAGATTGGTAGAAAAACAATTATTTAGGCTGATAAGCAGTAGATAGTAGCTTATTGTATGTTCATCTTAGGATAAAGGAATGAATCTGGGAAAGATATGTTTCTGGCCTGTAAATTTTATCTCTTCCCTTGAGGAGAGAGTTTTATTCTGGGTGCTAGGGGAGTACACACACAGAGAGGTTGAAAACTAATATGTAAAGTTGCAACTTTTCTCAGCAGTTTGCTTCTGTAGGCATTACTCAAATCACTTGGCATAGTGGCAAGCGTTGATTAAATGCAATGCTGACTTACATGTCTCCTCCTTCACAATAACTTGTTACAATGCAGACACAGCAATCCTGTGTTCATCAGATCACACCTTCAAATTTAGTTTACTCTGCGAATGGGTCATGATTATTATTATTGCATAGTTACCCTAGGTTCATCCATATAAATCCTGGAAGGACAAGTGTTTAAAAGTGAAAGAACTCAGTTTGCTGATTGTCTACCTTCTCCACCCATGCATCTTTGTACTCCACAATGTAAGGGTTATTTAGCTTTGCTATTAAATTCATCTGCATTAAGAAACGAATTGTAGGTAAATCACTTTTCGTTCTTGGTAAGAATTTAAGTAAACAAAGTGAAGCCAAGGTCTAGCCCAGTTGGCATGGGCGTTTACCTGGTTTTCGACTTGTGTTTTATGCTTCTGTACCCCTCCACCCCCCTCAATGTCATGACATAAAGTTCGAGCATTAAAAAAAAAACAATAAACAAGCATATATTTTTATGCAAGACTAGTTTTTTTTCCCTCCAGTAAATGGCATGTACGGTCTGTGGTTATTTTACAGTTTATCATCAATTCGGGTGCTTCTAATCTGCCTCACAGCAGTTATATCTCGTAGCTTCAAGTTCACAAGCTCTGCTTTCCAAATAATGCAATAGCCACTTCAGAGAATGATCGACTTGAAACGGTGATTGGAGTTGAATGCGTAATTTTCTTTGTGACCTTGCGATTAGAGTACTGTAGAAGCTGTTGGATTGTTATTCATCTTCAGCTAGAGTTTGTGCTATGTGTTGTCTTAAAGAACCTAAACAGGCTTTTACTGGTGCTTGGTATACTAGTAACACTATATACAAACCGACCCTTCAGTTAGGAAGTGTTCCAAATGAAGCACTACTCATTTAGGCCTCTTTGGACTGTTTTTTATGCATCTTGAGATAGCAATAGATGGTGGATTATTGTTGTTAGTGGTTACCTGGGGCTTGTTTGATTGCCAAACTGGAAAAGGGGACTGAACAAACTAGTTTAACCCGATGTACATGAGTTAAAGAGAAGGGAGATTTTGGACAAGCTAGACTACACCATACCCACTCTCCTTTGGATTTTTTTTTCCTTCGTTTTTTTTTTTTTTGTTTTTTGGCGGAGGGGGGTGTTGAATTGTAGTTCCAACCCTATCCCAGATGTGTCTAAAAATGACTCTATAGTATGAAGAGGACTAGGAATGCTATTTGGATACACAACTGCAATATAAACTAATTAATTATTATTGTTTGAATAGACGATGTAATATAAAATTTGAGTGTCCAAATAATAATATTTTTTATTCACTTTTTTATTTATAGAATTTAAAATTAATTTTTACCCATTATTTTAAAAAAATTGATAATTTTCTTGAAATACATGATTTCAAAAAAAATATCAACATTTGTACATTACCGTAAATGAATAATGTTTGAAATAAAAATTATATTGAACTATAAATTAATTAAAAATTAATTTATTCAACTTGTAAAAGAAATGAGTGATGTGGTGGAAATGGATGAAAAATAACGGATTTCTTCTTTTGATTCGAATAAAAATAATTCAGAAGCATTACCAAACTGTACCGTATTAAAATTTGGGATTAATGCACAAGGCCAGTAGGCTGGAGGTAGGTGCGACCAACATACGGCATACTCCTCGAAATCAATGAATAAGAGATGAACAGATGGTCCCAGAAAATCACATCCACCAACCCCACTAAATGTCTTAGTGCAAATAAGCAACATATAGAAGTAGCTGTGCCAATTTGAGAACTTAAAATTCATAGTAAAGTTATAAAGGTTTGGTAGGGTAACAACCTCTTGATGGGCAGTGTCCTTGAATTTTTCTGTTTGTTTAGCCAAACGAATCTTCTTCAACACATAGCTGCATAGACAACAGCATGGACAACAATCAATAAAAATGTGTTAAAATATCGAATTACCTCATAAATTACACTTTTTGTTGTATGGAGAGCGTTGAAGAGGGTAAATTGGGTACTGATCAAACATTGAATATGGTTTATTGAAAGTGTATGTCCTCAAATTGGAACTCAATTTTATGATTGTTAACCCGAAACTTTTATCTGCACCAGGCAAAGCCCCTATGCACAGGACTCTACTTACAAACAGCGTTCAAATCAAAGCATTGAAGAGGCCTCATTCTACATACCACTTTTGAATTGTCCAAATGTTCATGATCTTTATGAATATTCTGTGGTGGACAGTAAAACTATAATCTGTTTGATACATTTACTCTCATGTTCCAGAAATATCATGTTACAAAATGTTCTTGTATGACGGTGCACCCTCCTTTTTCTTCTTATCATGCAATGTTCTTCTCACTCTAGAACCAACATAGATTTCACAACAGTTCTTAGAACTTTTCTTGTCAACCCACTAGGTTTCCTATTTATTTNAAAATTGATATTATTATATCAAATAATAATATTTTTTATTCACTTTTTTATTTACAGAATTTAAAATTAATTTTTACCCATTATTTTAAAAAAATTGATAATTTTCTTGAANATAATAATATTTTTTATTCACTTTTTTATTTATAGAATTTAAAATTAATTTTTACCCATTATTTTAAAAAAATTGATAATTTTCTTGAAATACATGATTTCAAAAAAAATATCAACATTTGTACATTACCGTAAATGAATAATGTTTGAAATAAAAATTATATTGAACTATAAATTAATTAAAAATTAATTTATTCAACTTGTAAAAGAAATGAGTGATGTGGTGGAAATGGATGAAAAATAACGGATTTCTTCTTTTGATTCGAATAAAAATAATTCAGAAGCATTACCAAACTGTACCGTATTAAAATTTGGGATTAATGCACAAGGCCAGTAGGCTGGAGGTAGGTGCGACCAACATACGGCATACTCCTCGAAATCAATGAATAAGAGATGAACAGATGGTCCCAGAAAATCACATCCACCAACCCCACTAAATGTCTTAGTGCAAAGAAGCAACATATAGAAGTAGCTGTGCCAATTTGAGAACTTAAAATTCATAGTAAAGTTATAAAGGTTTGGTAGGGTAACAACCTCTTGATGGGCAGTGTCCTTGAATTTTTCTGTTTGTTTAGCCAAACGAATCTTCTTCAACACATAGCTGCATAGACAACAGCATGGACAACAATCAATAAAAATGTGTTAAAATATCGAATTACCTCATAAATTACACTTTTTGTTGTATGGAGAGCGTTGAAAAGGGTAAATTGGGTACTGATCAAACATTGAATATTGTTTATTGAAAGTGTATGTCCTCAAATTGGAACTCAATTTTATGATTGTTAACCCGAAACTTTTATCTGCACCAGGCAAAGCCCCTATGCACAGGACTCTACTTACAAACAGCGTTCAAATCAAAGCATTGAAGAGGCCTCATTCTACATACCACTTTTGAATTGTCCAAATGTTCATGATCTTTATGAACAGTCTGTGCTGGACAGTAAAACTATAATCTGTTTGATACATTTACTCTCTGATGTTCCAGAAATATCATGTTACAAAATGTTCTTGTATGACGGTGCACCCTCCTTTTTCTTCTTATCATGCATTGTTCTTCTCACTCTAGAACCAACATAGATTTCACAACAGTTCTTAGAACTTTTCTNTGATCAATATTAATCTTTTTAAACATTTTATTTTATTTTTCATTATAGTTAATCATTCATCCCCCACAATTTTATACCCGTGGCAAAAACGTAAATTATAAATACATGCGGTCACCCCCAAATCATGTATACTGAGCAGGCCAAACTTAAGATGTATTACATAAGTGAGAGATTTCCATTTGAGCTGCGCACGGGGAGTTTAAACATGTTAATTTTTATTAATGTCAAAACAATATCTCAGGTATGTTGGAGGAAAATGTTATAAAAGATTTTATATTTTAATTAATTTTCTGGAGACCATTACAAATATTAAGCACCATCAAAACGAAACAGAGGAGAGAGAGAGAATCTCATGTTGCCCAAGCATTCTAGGGGGCATGTTTTTGTCAGTGTACCAGGTCCGGACTTGAATGCCTTTCCTGGAAATTGGTTATTTTCATTGAATGAGTGATAAGATATGGTACGAAAAAGTTGCTGCGTCCTTATGAGTTAATAGTATTTGTAATTTTTAATATATCAATTTTTTTAATTATAAAATATTTTATTCTTGTTTCGATGATCTTTACACAAATGATTCATCAAATTTTTTATAGAAGTAATTACGTGTTGGATCACATGATTATGTCTTCAAAAAAGACACATGATTACTTAATGCAGAAAAATTAATAGATTATTTGATTAAGAATTATTTAAACACAAAATAAATATTTTAAAGATTGAATTAATAAAATTAATATAATGATAATTTAATTGACAAAATTCTAATATTTTTGAGAATAAAAGTAATATGAACTTTAAAAAATATTATTCGTCTGTATTACTTCTTGTCAGATGTCAATCACCCCTTTCTTCTGGAAATGAAACAGGCGGCAAAATGGGACCTAAGGATTTTTTTATTGTTGTGCACGGGCGTGCATAAATTCTTATCCACTTTATTATTGTTCTCTCTCACACAACATTAGAGGCTCGAATCCTTTCACTCAATTTTTTGTTTAGTTTAAGTTATGTAGTTCAATTTTTTTCGGGTTGAACCTGAAGTAGTTCAAAATTCTTATTTAAGTGAGTTATCAGACATGTCAGATTAGATATCGAGTATGGGTAGTGATGGTGTATTTCAACGTGATGCGAATTTGTGATGACGAGTAAATGAAATAAATAATATTGGAATTGTTGGGATCTGAGCTACTAGACTCAAGTGAATGATACTGAGAATTGTCGGGGAGTTGGAGAATTAACATAGTAGAAATATAGTAGTTCATCAACTCGGGAGCTCGACTAATCCACTCTTTAATGGAGACTCTTGCTCCTTGTCTTTCAATAATGATGATTGCAAAAGTACAATGACTAGTTTTTGTCTCTAGGGTTCCTTTCGTTCCTTGGGGGCGTTACATAGTATTTATAGGGCTGTTTCCTATTCAGTGAGATCTTAGTCGAGATTCTTGCCCTTATTTCGTGGGGTTCTCCTTGATTATAGGAGAATATCTTAGTTAGTTGACATTAGGTGCCTTGATTATTGCTTCCTAATATTTTTAGGAACCTCTCGTGATCTTCCAGCTATTGCCTTGGTTGTTATTGCCCTTGCTTATCTTGAAGGGACCTCCAACTCTTACTTTTCTGAGTTCTGTTTGTCTAGTCTGATCTCCTGGGCTGAGCTGACCTTCTGAGCTGGCGTTTATGATTTATCTTGAGGTATCATCAGTTGCCTCCCCAGCTTTTGGTCCAAGCGAGCTTGGGCATAGGCTGAGCTGCTTTTGCCTTGGACTAGACCTGTGCCTAGCTGACCTTAGCCTTCATGTGAGATGCACGTGGGAGGGACTTGTTGAAGGTAACAGTAATCATGGCTCCCTTGGTTCCCGCGCACGCCTCATCCCAAGTCTTTCAAGCCTTAAATGCTCAAAACGGCTAAAAAAAACGTACAAAAACACCGTTCATCTTCTACGCTATTCACCTTCGTCTCCGGCCCTTTCTCTTTGTGATTTCTGGGCTTTCCTCCATGCGATTCCCTTATTTTCTGTTCTAGACTGTGTTTTCTGGGTTCGACTCGAAGTCCTGCTTTGTTCCTCTCCTCCAATTTTGTTCTTTGGCTGCTGTTTGTTCCTCTCTTCCCTGTCTAGGTACGCTTCCTTCTGCCCCTTTATCTTTCTCTTGCCTTTCCTCACTCTGGATCCCTCAACTTTGAGGTGGCCATTATTTTTTTGGGTTTTTTTGGTTCTTTTTCTTTTGAAATCGTGATCGTTGCTTATCTGCTCTTCCTCGCTTTGTGGATTGGAACTCCACTGTGCGAATTCCTACCGTCAGGAGGTACAGTGCTGACCCTAGGATTATCAGGGGATGTTTAGTTAGTATTCCTCATTTTTATAATTCTTTCAACTTGCCTTTCTCTTTGCCAGTCATGTCTATCTCCTCTGGAGTACCTCCCTCCTCTGTTTCCCTCCTAGGCGACAGGTCTGCTGAGAGAGATTCTGATTTAGGGGATGTAGGTGATGAGATTGACAACTTCCTCGGTGTTGAGGCTGTTAATACCGAGGTGGACTCCAAGGAACTCCCCTCATCTTCCTCTCGTGTACCCCCTAGTGCTGACAAGGGTAAGGGCAAGGTGAGTGGTGTGGGAGTCATTGGTTCAGGCGTAGGGACTGCCTTTAGAAATGCTGAACTTGTAGGTTCTAGTGGACTTACCCCTATTGACTTGAAGGTTTTCAGTGCTCGCTTTCGTTTTCCCCCAAGGGTTTAGCCCTAGAGTCCTGATGAGTACACCACATATGTTCACCATGTCCATAAGAAGGTCTGTTTCTTCTTGGCAGCTTTTGATAACGGACTTCGTTTTCCCCTCATCCTTTTATCAAAGCTGTTCTTCAACACTTCAATGTCTACCCTGGCCAGCTCTTCATCAACTTCTGGGGTGTTTTTGTGGGTTTACGAGTCTTCTTTAAGGACCATAAGCTTGGGGTCCCTACTGTTTCTTTACTTATGGAGCTGTTTAATGTCAAGCAGACCTCCTCCGACGGCTTTCTATATATTTTCAAGAGGACTAAGGCCAAACAGGTCATCTCTGACCTCCCAAGCTCCCATAAGGGCAGAAAGAAACGATTTTTCTTTATAGGCGGTACACAGTGGGAGTTCAACTCAGAGGATAAAACTGATACCCTCCCCATCCCTACAGAGTGGTCTGCCCCTGATAATTTGGGTATGTTTCTACCCAGACCGTATTTACTCCAAGTTTGGCTACTTTGTTAACTAACTTCTTGTTTTCCTTGGTTTTCTAGGTATTCGACCCGAGCTCAGTGCTGAAGAGGAGCAAGTATTGCGAAAATTAGAAAAGTGCAAACCAGAGAAATATTCTGAGCTCATCCAACCTTGGGCTCTCGTAGAACACGAGTTCTGCCTTTCTGAGGTGAGGGTTGAAGCTCCCCTTCCACTTTCCGTTGCTGGCCCCATCCCGCTTTCTGTCGAAGATATATTAGGTAACACTTTTTCTTTGTACCCTCTCTCCTCTTTTCTCAGTCCAAGGGTGAGGCTTAGCTATTCTTAAGTGCCGTAGGTTCATCATCAATGGAGCCCACTGCTGCTAAACCTAGGGCTAAACTTTCCCAAATGAAGAATATCAAGGGCAGCAACAAGAGCAGCAGTAAGAGCAGCGCCAAACACAAGTCAAGACCCAGCTCTGCCGATGGCTCCACTCCTGCCAAGGTGCCAAGGACAGGCATGTCAGTCACTCCCTCTGCTCCAGCTATCCCAGACTTCTGTTTCCAAGGTATTTTTCCTACTACTCCAAGCGCTGCTGCGTCAGGACAGACAACCCCCTCTGTTTCTAAGGTCGAGAGAGTTGTGGAGACGACTTCTCAAATCTTGGCCTCTCTTAATCCGCCTGCTGCGCCCGTCAATCGTTCCCTTCCTGAGGGTTCCAAGGCTGTGAAGGAGGAGCTCCTCAAGGTAGGTAAAAGCGATGGCTCCTTTCTTGATAACCCCGACCTTGCTGTAGGGGCCCTCTTCTCTATTCTTCCCAATGTTGATATAAAAAGGGCCTTTTCACTGTCTCTTGAGGATTCAATAAGCTTTGTTCTTCACGGATTAACTGCGGTAAGTTCTAGCTCACATTTATGACCACCTCTTTCTTTTTGAACTTTCCTAACTTTTGTCTATTTTCCTCTTGTCCCCAAGTCTGCTATCCATGCCAAGAGCTTGATGAACAAGGTCCTGTCTGCGGAGAATTCTGCTAAAATGGTGAGGGCTTATGAAGTTAAGGTTGTCGAGTTGGCTATTAAAAATGATGATCTGCGAGCTCAACTACAGGAGCTTCAAGAAAAAGTAGGAAAACAGGCTTCCACCATTGAGGGCTTAGAAGTTATGAAGGCCAAAGCTGAGGAGGGGGAGAGAAAGGCTAGGGAAGCTTGGGCCAAGGCTAGCCAGGAGGCTTCTGCTGCTCAGAGCTCTTTTGCAAGTTTAACCAGAGATTTTGTTGCCTTATCTGATGCTAATGACGCCCTTTATAGTACTTTTGAAGAGCTGAATGCTGCTATATATGCAAAGGATAAAGACATTACCAAGCTGCGGGATGATGTTGCAACCAAATGGGTCTCTAGGTGGCTTGCTTTCCAAGGAAAAGCTGAGGAGGCCTACGCTGGCATGAATTTTGACTTTGATGTTCTCAGCACTGAAGACACAGAGGTGGCTGAAGCAGAAGGTGAAGGAGAGCCCTTGGCCTCTTCAGACATCTCTACTGTCGGGTTCCCCTCCTTTATTGGCCTTGCCACTGAGGCTTCAGTTCTCCCACCTTCTGCAGAGGCCCCACATTTAGAAGCTCTCCTT